TATTATAACAAGCAATTAATCAAAAAATCAAATATTATGAAACAATGGTCATTAATGAAAAATGAAAAAATAAAAATAAGGAGAAAAGTTTCGGGAAAAGAATGTAATGAAGATTGAGAACAGTTTCAAATCAGATTTAAAAAGTCAAAAAAAAGCGGAAGATAAACACCAGTGAGGGCTAAACATGTTGCAGTGTAGCAAACATTCGACAAAAAAGCAACTCGCAAGCAATTTGTTCAATAGACAGTGACCAAATATGCTTATAAAAATTTTAAATGATGATTTATGTGAAGCCCAATATGTTCCAATAACTTTCAATGTAAAATATGACACAACACAAGTCTTGTTGCTATGATGTTGTGATAACTTCAAAAATCAAATAACATCCTTTCGAAAGACATTTATCACTTAAAAATATCTTTTTACTCTAGCGCTTTTAAGCAAAATCAACAACTTGTGCCGAAAACTGTTACAACTTAACCGATAATAAAAAGGGTATTTAAAAAGAAAAAAAATAAATAAAGTAAGAACAAAAAACTCAAAGACAATGCTTGAAAGACTCAAACCAGACAGAACTTGACGTCTTAACGTCTCCAGTGTGATATCAAAATAAACAACAAGTAAACCAAATTAGGTGCAAAACCAAAAGTGGAAGATATCGTATGTATCTACTAAGAGCACTCCTTTCATCCCAAGTTCGTAACTATTTTGACAAAAAAAAGTATTATCTAACCATAACTACATTCATTACACCTAATCTTCCAATAGGACGCTTAAACAGTTCTAATTCTTCAAGTTCTATTTTATCCTCCTTTCTTCACATCAAAATTTTAAAAGGTGAAACAACTGCAAAACAAATCAAAGAATAATCATTTATTTAACAGTATTAATTGTTCCTCCTGTTTGATAAGATGTAAGAAAAATTCAAAAGTTAATTTTTTATACAAATCTTTGGAGCTAATAAAGCTTGTAAGTAAAAATCTTCAAATTTAACTCATAAAAAATTACTATATTGATCAAACTCCTTGTTCCCGCTTTTTGAAAACAGTCATAAAATAAACCAATATGAGTCATTTAAAGAAAATTCATTTGAAATGTTATGTAATCCAGAATATTATCACCAACAATTTAGTATATTTTTAAAATGTAATTTTGATAGAAGCTGCAAATGTCGTAAGCTTTAAAAAAAGCTCAAAAAATTTAAATAAAATTTTTAAAGAAAAACAAAAGTGTCTACATCCTAAAAATTTTATAAAGTACACTGCATTATAACTGTTACCTTAAAACCCTTTAAGCTGCAGCCCAAATAACAATGATATACCATAAGAATATCGTCAACCTTACCAAATAGGTTTGCGTTCCACGAATAACCTCAGTTCCTTACTCAAAATAACTGTTTCACTTTTAGTATGATGAGTTAAAATATTGTCGTGTCTTAAACAAAGCAAATTTGGTAGAAAAAATTAGATATTTTAATTCATTATAAAATTTTCCGCAGAATCTCTTATCGAAAGCAAGCTTTTCAATGACACCTTAATTAAGTGGCCGTTTGAAAACAGGATGAAAGAACATATACACTGCCGCTTCAAATAAATCATAGCAGGATCGATGAGCTCAATGATTGCGGAGTCGAATTCCCACGGAAGACATGAGAACCTAGAGGCAACACCAATGTCACCTCTCTCAAAAGGAACTTCTGAGAAGTTAACGAAAAGTACCTCTAAACGAAGAAATAGAATTAAAAATGTCTCAGCAGGCTTGGAAGAAACTAAAGCTTATTAAAAAAGGTGATTTACGAGCGTGCTCTGAATCAAAAATTCAATTCAAAAATTGGCACGTGTCATTAACTACTAGAATTCTAAAGACTTATTAAGACAGACAAAAATCTCATTTAAAACTAGGCACTGTGCATGTCATATTTTTAATGACGAATATCATAATAAGAGTGTTAAAAAACAGTAATATTTATAGTCCTCTGATGACCAAAATGAAATAAAGAGCAAATGTGTTAAGGCCGCAAATAAATGTCGCGACATCAAACAAACAATTATCGACAAATGCAAATATTATATTTTTTTGACGTAGAAAGTTCACAAATTAGAATAAACATAAGTAAGACACACCTTACCAAAATAAATTAAAAACAGAAGCAAACAACAGCAAATTTAAATCTGGCCTAAAAAAACCTTCAGAAAGAAAAGATTTAAAGTCTCACAACTTTATAATTTCTCCGGAAAAAACTAGTATCAAATTGAACCCATTCGTGACATTCAAAGCATTCTAGTTTTCCCTGTTACAAAACCGAAACATTACAAACCTTCACTTCAAAGTGTTTTCAAAAGAAGCTATAACAGATAACACTAGCCAATTAAATTATCAAATTCCTTGAAGATGCCAAAAAACTTTAAAAATTTCACATTTCAAACCTATTTCTCTAATTAATTGACAAAAATGTAATGATAAACTAAGATGAGACTACTTTAAAGATACAAGTTGTAAACAGTTTGGAAAAATGGCACAAACAATGCGTTGATCGGTGTCAAATATTTTGATTTAAAAAGTAGAGCAACCGGAATAAAAACAAAAAATACCTGTGAATCGAAGTACTGAAAAAGATAAGTGCGTCCAATGCGAATTTTACTGCCGTTACGTAAAATGACAGTCTGTGAAATCCTCTGGTCATCTACCTACAAATTAAAAATAATTAATTTTTATTTAACTACATCTATTGTTAAAAAAAGAAATAAAATTGCTGTCTTCTTCCCTAATTAACAGTACCTATTTGGATATGTCACGATAAAAAATTGTTTAGACAATTCTTTCAATAAAACATTCCATAACTACACCTAATCCGACAGTAATGACCTCGTGCGAAAACAAAGAATTTAAATAAGATAATCTCCAACAGACAATGTTGCTTCACACTAAAGTCTAACAGGAAAAGCTAGAGAAGGTGAATGTCCAACAGCTTTAAGAAAATAATTGGTGAAACACTATACCTCAATATCAGCATTTGAAACTGACGGCGTTATAGTAACAAAACCGTCTACAAAAGTTATGACTGCATGCCTCGGACGGATATAGTCACCAGGCAGGCATATCTGCATTGTGTGATCACTACCAATCTCAACCAGTGAAGACTGAATTGGTATTGGTTGTCCAAATGAACACTCGATTCCACCTTTAAAAACTTGACACTATAAATATATATGTTAAAAGAATCAAACAGATGGGCAGTTTGACAGATCCTCTTAAAAGCGACAAAAGTGCAAACAATACCCAATACAACAGCAACTAAGAATAGCCTTAATAAATAGCAAAACTACAGGTAAACAATTTCAAAGTCTCAATATTTGATCTTAACAGCAATTCAACTAATTTCGAATTGAAAAAAATCAAAACGTCAAACTCTAACTGTACACTAGAACGTTAACGAGCAAAAAGTACCCGATAAAGCAACAAGATAAGGTGATGTAGCTGGTTGTGTAAGAACACGGTTGGGTTTAGAAGAGTCCGAAAAATGCATAGGATTTGCATATGCAGAATTTGTATGATTCGCTGGCAGTAAAGCCGAGTTAGACGACTCCGTATCTTGCCTAGGGTGCAAAACTGCTGAGGAACACTGCTGCGCTTGAGGATCATAAAAACGGTGTCGACGCTTCCTCACAGCGTAAATTATTTCTCCATTAAAATCTGGGGAACGTCTTGCCAAGTTTATTAAAGGGCATTCATCACTGTCCAAAAATCTTTCGTGACCAACGTCTTCCAGGGAACGTAGATCACTGAGTGACCGTGAAACTTTATTGGTTGCTGGCAAAGTTATCTGAAATGATACAAATTATTGTAAGTGGTCTTCAAAACCAACTGTTAAAGTTACAGTGAATAAAAAACCTCAACAAGCACATAATCCTCGAGGTTCTCATTCTCAAGACCATATTTTTCAAGTGTCTCTTTCACAATTTTCTCGGCTCGATCTCTGACGGAGACAAGCAAAGTCACGTACGGCCTGCTTGGAACCAGTTCATAACCATAGATTTTGAGACTTCCACCTGAACTAGTATAGCTCATTAATATAATAATTATTGCTTCACAAATAATTTTAAATAAATTATATCAATTTTTAAACAGCTTAAACCACAAACAAATTTTTTAAACTCCCCACTTCAAGAAAAAATAACACCAAGCACTTCAGGAATGGCATTACTGAAAACAAACACATCTGTATAATACACGACAAATCTCACTAAATTTGAAACTTCAACATAATAAACTATGAAAACAGCAAAAATAATTTTCAAATTAAGAACTAGCCCTGTCCCATCTCTTTTAATTTTGCCTCTAGTTTCCTCTCACGACGCTTTTTCATCACGATTTCCGGATTTGAAATAGTTCGAGTAAAAGTTGTTGGTGGTAATGCTTTATAAATAGACTCGACAGCTTCTTGTTCCGCTGCTGCGAGAGCTAACAAAGCAAACTTTTAACAAAAGTTTCCAAATGCGAAAATTCAAAACATGAAATTACTACCAAAAATAACGAAGACGTTATGAAAATGATAGAATAAGTTCAAAAAACCCCGACCTCTTTGGTGCTTTTTCTTCAGCTCCTTCTTTTCTCTTTTAGAAAACCGCTTTAAACCACGTTTGAGATTTTCCTCCTCACTGTTAATTTGCAGAGGCTATGAAGCAACACAATTAAAAAATGTCAAGTGGTAAAGCACTTTTATTGTTCAAAGTTTGTGATAACAGCAAACCAAACAAATCATTTCAATTTCCATAAAAAAAAATCTGCCTCATTTTTGAGCAACTGTGTGACTTTTATTTACTTAATTATTAATTACTTCAATTAGCGAATTAGCTATTCAATGCAACACATCACCCGTTCTTTTAAACTTTTTCTTTTACAATTCCTAATTTTCATGGCAGCAGCTCGCTACTCTAAAAAACTTCTCTTGCTAAAACTTTAATAAATTCAATAACTAATTTCACTAAACATTAAAGTCACCTCTGACTCTAAGAACCTAAGACTCATAGACAAGTTCCGATAAACTGAAAAGGGAACCAACCGTAAAAGGCGGATTATGGACGTGTTTTTTAAGAACAAAACGACCCTCGCGATCATCTTTATTCCAGTTCAATTGGACAAGTAGCGGTTTTTCATCAGGAGCTAATCTTCTTTCTTCACCGTTCTCATGCACCTCCCAGACCGAGTACTCAGGATCCGACAGCCTTAAAAAAAACTGGAAAAAACTTGCAAACTTCTATAAAGAAGTAAAAACAGGCGCTACCTTTCAACGAGTAAAAAAATGAAACAGTAAAAAGCTGAAAAAAGTTTTTTGACGAAGCCTAGAAACTACAGAGGCGTACTTTTCAACTGCAAACGTAAAAAATTTCTTACATTTTTAAGTCTGGATGAAACTTATCAACCAAAGCATCGATCACAGCCCTGGTAGTTGCGGTACTCGAAACTCGAATACATTTTGTCGAAACTTTGTCCTTACTTTCTTGAAAATAAAACCGTATAACACCATAAATCTCAAGGTCCTGCAATAACTCCTTATTTCGACGATTTACTAATAACAAAAATGATTGATAAAAAAACAAATAGAAAATATAGCAAAGATACCCCAAATGATATTGAAAAAACTCAGTTATCAATAGTTTAATCTATCAGGATTTGTGAATAAAGAGTTAACCAACCGCAGTAGGGTAACTTAAACTAAATAGGTCAAGTCGATTCTCATTCCATTGCTCAACCAAACGACATAAATGCTCACGATCATTTAACTCTCCACTTGTTTCCAACATCTTCTATCTAAAGAAAACTGCTTTGGTAAGTGAAAAATAGCCGTGATTTATAACTTACGGTTGATAGCAACCAGGGACCTGGTAAAATAGAAAAAAAGTAAAACGAACAGGTAACGAAATGAAAATAACGATTGCACATACGAGTTGTATAAAGCGTACAATACTGCTTAGCTTAAAGAAAAAAAAATTTTTTTTCCTTTTTTTGAAAGTAATTTGACAGCCAATTCGGTTCTCTAGCTTTTTTCCTGGCTAAAACACAACTAATGCGAAAAAGCAACAATCAGCTTCTTTTTAACTACAACAAAGTACAGGTTTCTTTCTTCCTCCGTTCTGTAACTCTGTAACTCATTCAGCTGACTTACATCTTTCTAAATTCAATTTTTGCATTAAGTCATTGTGCATACACAATATATACTTAAAACATAAACTACTACAGTTATTTTCCAAATACAGTATAGGGTACGAAGATGCCAAGCAAATACAGTATAACTGTAATTGTTTTCACCACTAGTCTGATCTAAAAAAAAAAAAAAAAAAAAAAAAAAAAAAAAAAAACCTAAAAAAAAAAAAAAAAAAAAAAAAAAAAAAAAAAAAAAATTTGAAAAAAAAAAAAAAAAAAAAAAAAAAAAAAAAAAAAACCACAGGTCTTGACTGAAGTAAACAATGAAATACCGGTGTACCAACCTACGAGAGATAAAATTCAGGAAACAAAAGTCGATGGCAACAAGAAATGTTCATGGAAAAAGCTACAAAACTCAAAGTCAATTGGTTTATATAATTCTATGTAAAACATATGAACTATCCATCACTTTTCTTTCTCATTCTCTCCCAAAATCAAAATTCTTTCATTCGTTTTTTTTTTCTTTTTCTTTTTCATTTTTTTCTTGTTTAATCTATTTAATGGATCACTAAACATTAGAAGCGACAAGTTACACAAATGGACGCAAAAATACTCAAAGACGAGGAGATTCCACAACAACGGCATTAAAAAGGCGATTTTAAATTCCAATATTGCTACCTCAATGACGACTGTTGCAGCTAAAAATTCGCCTGTTCGTTGATTGTTGTAGTAACGTGCGCATTTCTTCTCAAACTGCTCATCCGTTGGTTATGTGACTGACTGTGTGCGTTTGTGCGTCTGTGCCTAATTCACCTTCTTAAGTTTCCCACACTTCTTCATTCACAGTCGACCACCATTCATGCATTCGTCCATTCATTTTGCTCAGGTCGTCCGTTCGTCGTTAGCCGGGAAAACACTCCTGCACAAAGTGCACCTACATCTTGTAGACCACAGCATAAGCACGCCTACCCAACCGCATGCAAACAGTCGTTTCTATGTATATCTATTATTATTTTAAAAAATAAATTTTTCTCCTATCCCATTTCCACGCGAAGTTTGACTTATCATATAGTTTAAAAAAAACTTCAATTCAAACTGCAATTCACCCACCCCCCTCGTCCCCATCCATCAAAACGTTTCACAAGCTGATGATGCCTCATAAGTGAACGAAAAAAAAAAGGTAAGAAAAAATTGTTAGTTGAAACATAACAGAAGTATCCGGCAACAGTTAACTGCAAAAAAGCCCTCACTTCTTTGTATACACACAATTAATCAGATAAAAAACGAAGAATAATGAAGGACAAAAATTGAATTACAAAAATGAAAGAACTAATACTAAGAGAGCAGAAACTGGAGATAAGGATGTCATATCAAAAAATAAACTGTATTGTGTCCAGCAAAACACTTGACATCCACAAAGCCGATTCGATAAAATAAAAAAAAAAAAAGACAGAATAAATATACATTAGAGGTGAAAATAACTGAAAAAGGAAAAGTACACTTAGGTTTATGTGTAAGTCTTTTTCTTAAACATGATCTAAAGACATCAACCAACGACATATGGTATATATGCAAATATGTACTTACTGAAACATATAAGTATTTGCGCGTGTACCACGGTTCCTGTCCCTTTCAAAGAAAAACCTTTCTCTTTCCCCTTTACAACCCTCAGTGCTTGGAGGCAGCGGTGAAGAATTTGGAAGACAGGCCATGCGGGCGAACCCGAGGGGAATCGCAAGAATATATATATATGTCACACATGTAACATGGATTATATTATTTTAACATAGATTATATTATTTTACTTACTATAAATATTATATATACTACATGTTAAATATATATGATATATTATGTTATGTATTGTTCATATTATATATATATA